GGCATATGATCATTAAAGTTTTTACCCCTCAAAACAAAAATATGCTATTCATAAAAAAAACAGTGACCGTAATTAAAACCTAGATGAACAGTCAATGTTGGAAAAGGAGAAAGGTCTAGTGTGTCAGAAAAGGGAACATACCCTAGTGAGCGCCACAACTTTCTGACTGGTCACCGCCTCGATCCCCTCATCTTCCCCGTCGGGCTGCCTCATCAGCGACAAGAGGAGTGGGGACACGTCTATCTCGTTTTATGTTCCTTAGGTTTCTTTTTTCTACCAACATCGGCAAGGTGGGGGCCGAGGGCGTGATGGAATAAGGTCTCTCGAATCTCTCTCTACCTCGACGACGTTTGATCTGTCGTCGACAAAGGGCATGTAGAGTTTGTGTCCTGGATATGCTGATTTCGTCAAGATCTTGATATTTGTTGTGTCTTTCAAGGAGACTATTGGTTCGCTTTGGTGCGGCGACTTCGACATCTTCTTTTGTGTTGCTTTGGTCACAAGAAGCCATCAGCTCAATTGGCTAGCGGCTCAGGTAAGTTGTGCAAGGCCACGAGTTTGACATGTCGCAAGCTCACTCCTCTTCCATGTAATTTTACGTCTCACGTTTAAAAAAATAAGTTGCATCGCGCCGGTGGGCCGGACCAGTTGTGTGCGGAGCCTGTGTGTCGCGCTCCTATATGACGCAAAAGGTTCACACGGGACGTGCAAGGCGAAGTGTGTCATGCTCGTCCCCCACAACCCTCATGGGCCTGGCCCACACAGTGGCACACTTATTTTTTTCTGTTTTTTGCAATTGTTATTTTATGTTTTTGTACTTCATTTCCCCCTTTTGTTTTCTGTCAGTTTTTTCTTTTATGTGTTTCACTTTTGTTTTTTACTTTTTTAAAACACTATAGAAAATCATCAAGATTTCTAAGTTTTATGATGATTTTTTATATAATCTGAATATTTATTAAAATTCTGGATTTTTATTAGTTCAAGAACATTTTCAAAATGGCTGTGAAACATTTTCACCGAGAAACTTTTTGTGGTATTTTGAACATTTTTTGAAAAGGAGTCAATATTTATGTTTTTGGATTTGTTTAATTCATGATTTTTTTAATAAATTCAATATTTTAAAAAAACCGTGAACATAGTTTAATAGCGATGAATTATTTTGATACATGATTTAATTTTAACATACATGTTTTTTAATTCTCCATGACATTTTTTATTTTTACAAGTGATTAGCATTCTCTTGTAATTCCGTGAAGAAAATCTTTTCATGAAAAATAAATAAAGAAGTTGGCTCAAAAACAATAGGCCTAAGGGCATTCCATGTGCAGCATGGGCCGCTGTCCGTACAAGAACAGAAGGAACGTAGAAACCGCTGCCCATATGCTATTCATACAAAAATCGGTGAATACATCTTCTTCTGTGTTGTTGATGACATGTCCGTTTTCTCCAACTTTCTGAACTGATGTTGATGGGTTGCAAACCTGTACTACATGGATGACACTCCAACTGATATTGCTTCAGCGATCTATAGCTCTTATCTCAAGGGGCGAGTGATTATAGCGGTCGGGAAAACATGATACGGGGAGGGCGTTTGCATCTACCCCTTTCCTTTACTGTTGACCCAGTGCAATTTTTAATCTTTGACATGCAGCGTACAATAAAAAAAGAAGGTTAGTATAATTTTTGTTGTAATTTTATTTTTACTGGTCCTTCTATGTCTAGTTACTTGTCTATTGTACGGTTTTTATTTTTCTTGATATTAATCAGATGTAAATGCCCTTTTAGTGTCATTATTGAAGAAACACCAGATGAACAAGAAAATGAGTAAGACAACTAAACCCACCGGCCCACTGTCCGGTGGGTGCATGATTCCTTATCTATTCCGTGAGTCATGCAAGGAATAGTTTGGGATGGACTAGTTGAAGGGTACCTGCCCTGTCGTAGGCTTCTGCATGGGGGAGCCGGATCCTCTATCGTGCCTTTGAGCACGGCACGGCTGCCGTGCCTTCTTCGGACGCTCGCGGGCGCATTGGAATGGGCCAGAAACTAGCCGAAACTAATCAGCCCAGCCGTGCATTGGGCCATCAGAGTGAGGATCGCCCATTAGATCTCTTCGTCCAGGGACCGCCCACGAAGGAAAAAAATGCACTATTTTTTATTATTTTAATAACCATGTTAGTTTGTTTATTTTCTGTTCATGGACCATCGCGGACATGCGGACACGGTATGCTTGCATCTCTACCGTGCCCAACTACAGTGGTACGTCCATCCATGGTAGAGATGTAAGCAGACGATGTCCGCAAGTCCGCGACGGTCCAAGAACATAACAAAACTAATCTGACGCGGTTATTAAAGGAACAAAGGTTAGTGCATTTTTGCTTCGTGGACGGTCGTAGACATGCGGACGCCGTCCGCTTGCAACCCTACAAAAATTGCATGTTCATTGGTCGTACTTAACTACAGTTAAACATCACATGATGTAGGAATCCCTTGCTCGATGAGGGCGTTGGTGAAGATGATAGAGGCCGAAAAAGGATTTAGAACGGTTCTTGACCACGGAGGGATCCAGCGTGGCGATCCTCGCTAAGGGCCCAGTGCATGCCTAGATCATTTTCATTTTATAGTATTGGTCATGTATTAATTATACTTCCTCAGTTCCTAAATACTATAAGTCTTTTTAAATATTCCAATATAGACTATATACGAAGCAAAATAAGTGAATCTACACTCTAAAATATGTTTATATACATTTGTATGTAGTCTGTATTGAAATCTCTGTCTTATATTTACAAACAGATTGTAGTTAACTGTTGGCTGAGCATAATTTTTTTCAAGACAAGAGCATAGTTAATTAGTTCAGGCGTGTGTACATCTAACAGTTGGCTGAGCTGATTAGTTGTTACTAAATTTCATATCAATGCATCCGCGAGCGTCGAAGAAGGCACGGCAGACGTGCCGTGCTCAGGGGCACGGTAGAGGAGCTGCCTCCCTGCATGGGGCAGTTCCAGGGCGCGGGAGTGCCTCAGCGCCGCCACATGTCGCACGCGGGGTGATTCCTAGTTAAGAAGTGACAAGAAGTGACTTTTGTAAGAGGTATCCTTTAATTTGTGATTTCATTTTTCTTGAGAATCTAATTTGCGATTCCATGTGTAGTGATCGCCTAACAGAGAGAGAATGTACATACATATGGTCTCCTCGGACCCTCTCAGGTCTGCGCCTAGGCGGTCGCCCGGCATAGGCCTAGAGCCGGTTCTCTCCCTCTCTCGTCGACTTACCAAATTAAGTGTAGATCACATCATGTCATCCCTAGTATTTATGCGCCGCCAGTGTCATACTGCCGTTAGCCGTCGCTATGAGCTGATGGTAGTAACAACCGTCTTGAAGCCTAAATTATATATGAAGACCTCTAGTGGAAGTCTCTTCGAGCAGTATGATTTTACCCGAAAGTGACCTGTCGCCAAGAAATGATTAATATGTGGAAAACCATCTTTTCGTGTTTCTCTAAGATGGATTGAGTTAATTGCAGTGAAGCAAATTCTTCCAGTTTTTTTCTCTAAACAAAATTGACGATGCAACTCCAGTCCTTAACAGCGGCAATTTCGCTACTCTGCAAAATAGAAAAGGCAGCGGCAATTTCGCTACTCTGCTCTGGTGCTGGAGTACAGCGTAATACCTGACAAGAAACCTGCATAATTGCTCTGGTACAACTTGGCATTATGAAAGCATAATTGCGCAAAGAGCTTTCATTATTAAGATTACTGGCAGCTGCAGTGATCAAATCGAACTAAGTAGGTCAAAGATGAATCTTTCCACTGCAATCTGCAACAAGCAGAAAACACGAGAGAAATTGATTCACCGCATAACAAGTCAGATGACACCGACATATATAGTAAAATCATACTCCATATTTTTGTTGATCATGCAATCCATCTTAATTTCTGACTTATATTTCTAATATATCCGCTGGAGGACCATCCAACTTGGATCTGAAGGACAGCACATATATGATCTGAATGTCCACGTCCACGTACTGCGACGTCGCAACTTCCTAAGGACCAAAACATTAAGGGCACACTCCATGAAATAGCGGGAGAGTAGGTGGCAAGCGCCGAATCCAATTTAATCCGGTTGGAACGACACCCGTTTAGTGATGATAGTGGCATGTCATCTTTTCTCACACGAAAGCTACGACCGATCTGCAGACGTAACCTGCACCGAACGGTCGATGCACACCGCCTCTTCGGCAAGTCCATCTCCAACTGGCAACTAGAGTATCAATCCCTCAAAAAAAAAAAAACTAGCAGCTATCATACTTGAGTTCCAATTACTTTACGCATTTCTCCAGCCTCAAACCGTATAACGATATGCTAGCTATAGCTAGTATAAGAAAGTTTAAGTACACAATTAATCCATTGATTCAACACGTGCACTAGCCGTGAGGCCAGGCTAAGAGATCACCATGCATGGCCCTGAGCTGGATGGATGAACCGAGGCATTGATGGCGGGTGGTGCTAACTACCCTCGACCCGTGGCTAGGTCACACGGTCCATGCATGCTCACCGGCAAATCAACGGTAGGTGATGCGCGCTTGTGTATTTATACCTGCAGGGTCAAGTGTCCAAAGGCACCCACTCAAGTGCAACTGCCACTGCCACAATCCTCTTTGTCTCTACCACTTTGAGGAGTTCTTCGGAACGATGGGCTCCAAGATGCTTCTGGTCACCGCTCTCTTGGTGGGCATAGCCTCTCAGAGCTATGCCACCAGGAGCCTTGACGGAAACCACTTGGCTGATCAGAAGTGTATGCATTAGTTCTAGATCTCACACTCCCGTGCTTCACCTTGTTGCATATATAATACTACCACGTACTTTTGCTGATCACGAGGCACGCTGTGTATCTGTCGATCTCAACAGACGGCGGTGGCGGCTACGGAGGTGGCGGTGGGGGCTCCGGAGGTGGTGGTGGCTACGGAGGAGGTGGCAGCGGCGGCGGAGGTGGCTATGGAGGAGGAGGCGGCGGCGGCGGCTACGGAGGAGGAGGCGGCGGTTACACACCGACACCAACACCGTCGACGCCCAGCCACAGCGGATCCTGCGAGTAAGCCAAACGTGCCGCTAGATAATAATCTGCTAAACTCAATCAACAGATCACAGATTCAAGGCTCAAAAACACAAACCGTTGTAAGTCTAAGTGTGTAACCCTGCATCTGCGCGTGTGTGCGCAGCTACTGGAAGGGCCACCCGGAGAAGATCATCGACTGCATCGGCAACCTGGGCAGCATTCTGGGCTCCCTCGGCGAGGTGTGCCACGCCTTCTTCGGCAGCAAGATCCATACCCTGCAGGACGCGCTGTGCAACACCCGGACCGACTGCTACGGTGACCTGCTGCGCGAGGGCGCCGCCGCCTACATCAACGCCATCGCCGCCAAGAAGGAGAAGTTCGCCTACACCGCCTACCAGGTCAAGGAGTGCGTCGCCGTCGGGCTCACCTCCGAGTTCGCCGCCGCAGCGCAGGCCGCCATGTTGAAGAAGGCCAACTACGCATGTCACTACTAGGCTAGGCTGCCGCCCCAGCTGGTAGTCGTCGGTGGCTAAATAAGTCCATATATGCATGCACGTGTCGTGCATGTTTTCATGCAGTTCCCGGATGCGCGCGAGCGTGTCCTCCGCTAAGCCTTTATGTGTTTGTTTGCCTTTTGATGATGCATGCCATGCCGTCTCGTATACGTAGTGATGCTTAATGCTTTGCTTGCTTTTCTTATCGTCGTTGGTGATGTAAGAATAATTTGATTTGGGGAGTTATTAGTGAAAGATATATGCATGATCGTTATCTTTGTTCAGTTATAAAAGACACAATACTACAGGAATTTTCACGTACGCCGGGTGTAATACTCTTCGCCGAGTGCTAAAACACGGACACTCGGCAAAGCAAGCTTTGACTAGTGTCACTCTCGGCAAACTCGCCTTCACGGCAAACTGCCATCTTTGTCGTCACTGCCTCACGTCAAAGAGGCACCGCACGGTAAACCCTGCAGACGCCGAGAGCCGTTCACGGCAAAGAGGAGCCACGTGACATGCCCGTCCGCAACAGACGGCTCCGCCAGTTACTGCGTACTTTGCCGAGTGTCACTCTCGGCAAAGCATATGCAACATCCTTTTTTTTGTGTGTTCTTTCTAACTGACATGTGGTCCCACTGGTCACATTTATCAGTAAAAATTTTAAATAACTTGCTAAATATTTTTGAAAAAAATGATGATATCTTTGCCGAGAGCAGCTCTCGGCAATCCTTCTGACCAGTAGGACAGTGTGGCCCACATGGGGGCTGACAGTTTACATAGCTTTGCCGAGAGCTAGTCTCGGCAATGCTCTCCTTCTTTTCCGAGATCTGCTCTCGGAAAAGTTGTGGCACAACAGTAGTGTCTCGCAGACGACCATGTTTCCGAGAGGAGCTCTCGGTAGTATATAGTTTTCCGAGTGTTGCTCTCGGAAATCTTTCGCATCCATTCTGCTGTCAAGCTATTTCTTTTCTGATCCCTGCAGATAAAAACAACTACAGTGCAATTTGATCATATATAAGCATAATTTGATCTAGTCCACACATATATAGGCATAATTTGATCATATATAGGCATAACTTGATCTAGTTCACATATATATGCATAATTAGGGATAGTCCACATATTGTCACACACAAGTCGCAAATTCATACATATCGTCACTACTTGCAAAACACGTGCTCGTCACAATAGAAGTACACTTTTTCATATATAGATCATCTTGAGGAGGAGAGGCCATCGGGTTAACATTCCGGAGGAGGAGGAGGGGCATCACTTGCACTGCTTCGAGATTGCATAAGAACCTATAAGAGTAGAGTCACGTGAGGGTGGTTCGTCCCTATGTAGTTGATCCTGTAAGCTCAGGCTCAAGGGGCTTGGACGTAGGTTCGGCTTCCTGCCCGTGCACCTCCTGGAAGACCTCTTTGAAGGTCCCCCACTTCTCCTCCGCCGACTCGCTGCAGAACTCGGCGCCATCCTTCCCCTTGTGGCCTTCTCTCCAGGCTTCCAGGATGTACCCTCCTTCGCCTCCTGCAAAATTAACCATCAAGTTTAATGAACCAAGATGCACCATGCGAAAAATTAACATCTTAATCCACATACCATGTGTTGCTTGAGAGCGGTTAGGTTCCGGCTCCCCTGGACATGAGTCGGGCCTGTCATTTTGGCTCGATAGTTTCCCTTCTCCACATGTTGCGCCTGCCATGCTGGGTTACACCACATGTCAACCAGGGCCTCCCAACAATCGTCATTCATCCAGGGTTCCTTCACCTAGTCAGACAAAATCGAATAATTGAGGAAAAAGAGGAATGAATCAAAGTACCAGCAACTGATGTAGTGACTTACCACTGACAGGTATTCTTCTCGTGACATGTTGGTCTGGCAAGCAGTCTTCCTTGTCATCTTCTCTCCCTTCTCATCGAGCGGCCAACACTGCATCACGGCTTTGTACCGCAGCGTGTGCTTGAGGTCAGAGAGTATCTTTCGGGCATATTTCACGATGACTTTGATCGTCTTCTGCTTCTCACCATCCACACAAGCAAATGTTTCCTACAAGAAAGCATAAGGCATCTTCTCACCATCCACGCAAGCAAGGATTTGGATATGGAAAAATGCAGTGGTCGGAGCGAAGATACTTACAAAAAAAGCATTGATGACCCGAGTGGCCATGGTGACATCGTGCTCATCCTTGTTGTGCAGGTAATGCTCCCAGGTTAAACCTGGTGACGGCGGATCGTCGTCACCCGGCTTGGACAATCCAGGGAAGTGCCTCCTCAAGAGGGAGCCGATGACGTGGTTCGGCGGGCGTGCCCCCTTAGGTTGTGTCGGGATAAATTCCCACTGACTGCATGATATAAAAGACAAGCATATGTGAGTGTCAAAGCTATGGCATCCAAAATATGATGCAAATGAAATGCTTGCTTACCCCTCTCCTGTCGGGCAAATGACAGCACGGTTGCTAGCAGCAGTTGGTTTCGGGACCTTCTCCGGACCACGCCCGGATTTCTTCCTCTTGGAAATGTTGCTCGAGGTAGACCCCGAGCCGTCCGAGGCCTCCATGTCTCCCGACTCGGTAGCGAGCGGATCTGGTGTATCTAAGTCCACTCTGACATCACCATCCGATGATGATGATGCCTCGGTTGTGGCCTGATGGGAGGCAGACGACTCGGTCCTACCAATCGGGACTCTCCGATACTTACTACCAGTGCTCCCATCAGAATCTGAAAAACAAAATATATATGGTTACTCTCAGTTCCAAAGCAAAATCTTCCTAATCTAAGTGTCATATCATATACGGCAAAAAATAACACAAATAGGTCAATCAAGTCTCAGATATATAGTTCCATTTACTAATGCCATAGCACTAATAAGGAAACAAGCACAAGTATATACTTTCATTGATCTACTCTAGTATTTATCTAAAAGAGCACAAGCATAGAGGTGATGATCCTTTGGCAAAAACAAAGCATCCACAGCCTTATCCGCACGCCAAACCACTTACCGACGACAAGCATTAGTTTAGAGACAAGAAGCTCAGAGAACTAGTTTCAACTAAAACTAAATACTTCGAGCACTCATTCGGTTTAACTAAAACTAAACCAGTCAAACATAGGAGTCAAATTCAAAGCATCCACAACCTTATTCTCCATGGCAAATCACTTACCATTGACAAGCATACACAGTGCTGAATTTGTTCTATATATATTGGCCGTAGCACATTACTAGTATTTACAATGATCATCAGTCGTAAAATTAAACCAGGACAGTAGCAACTAAACTCTTATTACTCGTTTAGTTAAACTAAAAGTCAAACAAACACTCTAGGCATTACTCCAAACTTCCAAACTTCCATACTACTCTAGGCATTACTAAACAGGACCATCTTCCTCTACTACTTTTAATCACATTTGTGCATAGTTCCTACATTTGTGCAAAATATCCTACTCTAGGCATAGAATGTGATACTAACCCGAGGGCATCTCCAGCTGCCGCGCTACCGGAGGAGCTCTGCTGCGGCGGCTGTCCTTGGGCCGCATCGAAGAACCGTCGCGCCGGCTTCCGGCCATGAAGCTTGGGGATGGTGGCCGCAGTTGGGGGTGGTGGAGGAGGGGGTGGCGGTGGCCGTAGTGGGG